ATCGATCAAATGCAGAAAAATGTTTCTGCTTCTCAGATGTGCAAATTTTTAAGACTGGACACATTTAAACATTGTCTTCTTGGAAACAATGAATATCCTTCATTTTCATTTCTTTGTTTTTTTTTCTTTTTTACATTTTATTGTGTAAAAACTTGCTGAAAAACCAAACGTATCATCAATCAATCCGGTTGTTCAGTCTGACGTCACTAGCCGTGTCTGGGTCTAAACTCCGCTGCAGGTCCATATATCAAACGATCACTATGGCATTACTGAGAGTTGAAAAACTGTCTAAAGTCTTTCATCTTTAATAAAATGATCAGCGTTCTGCTCTACCAGGTGTAACAATTGAGTTTAACATCCAGGCATCCATGAAAACGGAATTTATGACATTTAACGGAGTTAGAAGTTAGCAGGGAGTTAGCTCGCTAGCTTCTATCTAAATACAATATAGCATGTCCTGACTGCGGGGTTTTGGAAACAAATTAAAACGTACAGCTCTGTTATCACTTCCAGCATAAATGAAGACAGAAAACTAAACAGCAGTGACGTTTGTAGGGTTACTGAAGTTTGGCTAGCTGGTATATAATGATGTGCTACGTGACCGCTAGCGACACAGCTGTGTTAGCATAATATAAACAAGCTAACTTTTTTTCCCACTCGATAAAAGTTAATGTGAGTGTTCTCGGTGGTCAGGAACAAATGTAATCGCATGGCAGGATGCTGTAAAAGGACCAAACTTCAGCCAGGAGAACAACTGAGATAATCCATCCACAATACGAGGTTAGTCATTCATATACTGCTGCATGGGCTGGGCTGTAGTTACATCCTAAGGTTTTAAAAACTGAGCTTAAATAAATGATTAGCGGTAATAAAAGCCGAGGGAGGTCAACAGTGATCACTGACTGTTTTAGGAGCTTTTTGAGATCAAACAGAGGTAGGATTCGTCGCGTCATCACTGAACAACCGGATAGAAAACAAAAGGAGCCTTTGTTAATGTTTGATGTTTTGTCCACGTTTAACATGAACATCAACCATTGTTACAGTATCAAAAGCCACTTTTTTGGGTACACAAACATCTAACAGCCAATCACATGCTAGTATGCAGTGATCTGAGGTATATAATTATTGTACATTATTCAAGGCAGCCCGTTAAAGTTCAAACTGAGCATCAGAATAGGAAAGAAAGGGGATTTACCTGACTTTGAGAGTAGCATGTTAGTTGGTTAAGTTCAGACTAGCTGGTCTGAGTATTTCAGGGTCAGAATTTAGCATAAATAACAGTAAATCATCTGTGTTACAAAGAATTAAGGAAATTCTGAAGGCAAAAGGGGGGTGTAAATCAGTACTAGCAAAGTGTAACTAACAAAGAAGTATAAAGGAAAAAGCATGATAATGTGATAAGAAATTTCCTGTGAAACACCCCAAATTTTTGCTTTTGACATTATATTTTACTGTTAGTGTGTAAAAATACCTACCGCTACTGGTCTGGTCCCCAGGAAGTTAAGGTCTGTATTCTCCCCAAACAGGTAACCCTCCGGGTGAGTGGAGTCAAACTTCTCTCCCCCCATGATGAAATGGCTGGCAAAGTAACTCCCTGCACAACGAAAAAGAAGAAATAAGAACATATTTATGATCGTTTATTACGTTTCAATGTACATGAAAACTACATATACAAAACGCAAACTGATGAAATCATTTTCATCGAAAACTGAAGGAGCCATGCGAAATTACGCTGCTACAAACTGACACTTTGCGAGTCCTACCCATCTGGCACTTCACCGACATAAAACATTTATACTTCCTGTAAATCTCTGAGCCTACATTCTCAGTATTCACAGATAACTCGCTGTAAGAGCCAAGTAATCCCAAACTGCATGATAAAATTACCTCATCCTGTCCCTAAACTGGCAGGTTAGACAAAATGACCGAAAATAGTGAAATAAAAAGCTGATGACTAAAAGACTAATGCTGGGCTGTTATTGTGCTGTAGCTTCTATACCTGTTTACCTAGACTCAAGGGGGATGGCAGCTAGACTAAATGGACATTCTGCTTTTTAATAACAAGTTAGGCTAATATCATAAGACTGTAATGGAGGTTTGCGGTCTCTAAATAACATGCTGGGCAGTCGAGTCATGTTTCTGCAGGGAGGACATCTGGTCTGGCATTGCTGGTCTGAATCTGGCTGCTTGGTTTTTCACACTTATTAAGACCATACAGGAGGATGAGGGTTTGATAGTTTGACCTTAAAGACATTAACATAATAAAGGGGAAAAACAGCCTAAGCGATGAGCCTGTCTCCCTCTCTCTTCATCACTTTATTTACAGCAGGTGGGAGAGGCGACCTGGGCTCAGGCTCTGTCACCAGATCCCACAGACAGGAACTAGGGCTGACAGATCGGTTTCGCTGGCAGCAATAGCCACCTCTATCCTCCCTGCCAGCATCACCAGCACTACTGCTCCAGGCTACAACCAGGGCTGTTATATCACAAATTTATATCGCCTACGACTAACTCAGCTGCTGTGGCAACAGCGGGGCTAATGGCAGCCACTTTTCTTCCCTTCCATCCTCATCACAATCAGCACACGATGTCAGGGTGAATCTGAAATATTACTCTGATGTTTCTGCGCGTGAGAAAACTCATATTCCCGGATTGTGTTGCAGATCTAATTTCGTGGGAGATTTTATTTTAATTTATGTAGTCGCATTTGACAGATTTGAACAGCAATACGATTACATTTTCTAACACAATGCCTGTTTGGTATTATTGTTAATCCGGGGAGGGGGCTGGACACAATGCAGCAATCAGAAAATATCAAACACGACAGACTGAAAACACACAGGTCAGTCTGAAGGAAAGGGCCACTTTATTAGCTGGGTCGAATGAGCGTAAGTGACCTGTGCGGACTAATGTTTATTCATTTATTTTTTTAAATGTAAAGAAAAGGTCTTCCAGATATATCCCATAATATGGCATTTATATTTAGTCTGACTAAATTTATATTTAGTCAGGAAAAAAATTATCTTAGGAAAAAAAGGAAATAAATGATTAAAACTAAAAGACTCCACAGAGCTGAAGGAATTAAATTATTATTGATTGATAATTATGTTGCAACTATTTTGATTATTCTTTTAGTAAAAGTTTCCAGCTTCAGCTTTTATTATGATAACAAATTATTTTTTTGTATGAGTCATTCATTTGATTGAAAACTGTAAACTAGCCATATTTAGATTTTAGACATTTTGAACTGTATTTTACAGTTGAAACCACAAGAACATAAAATAATGCAAACATAATTGACAGGCAGTACTGGGTGGACATTCACAAATAAACTGAGATTTATAGTTAGTAAATTAACAGTTTTAAAAATGCATAGATCATCGCAGCTAAAATTCAAGCTTTAAACTTTAAAATATATTCTAATTTGTGAGTTTTATTTCTCAAAGTGAATATATCTGACTAGTCTTTTAAATGCCATCCATCAGGATTTATTCCTTTCCACAGCCTGATTTAGTCCTAATGCCAACCAGATGCACCAAAGGAAAAGCCAAACCCAGTTCTGCCTGCCAGTTTCTCCTATTCATGAAAAATTTGAAGTTGAATTTGCATAAATACGTGCAAAGGACAGTTAGTTATAGAAACATAGGGGTGCTGCTGCGGGTTGCTGTCCTTCTATGGATGTCACTACAATGCTGCAAGATGAAGAATAAATTAGAATAAATCATCTAGCACATAAATATGGAGTAAATGGAAAGCGCACTTTTAAGTGGGTGGAAAGGTGGCTCGTGAAAAACACCGGTCTCCACAGGTAGCCGCTCCGGGTTAAAGGCTGAAATGCCCCTGCAGGCCTGTAAACTCACGGGATACGAAGGTGATGTTTTCCCTCCAGAATAAATCATCTGCAGCGAGTTTTAGATAAAACCCACCCAACCCAGTCCGACCTGTTGTTTGATGACTTACCAGATTTCGGTGGATAGCGGTACACCGAATTGGACGGGATGTCCACTTCTTCCACGCCTATGTTTTGTCTGCTTGTTAGAGCTCCCATTTCCAGTCAAATAAAGACCGCACGGCTTAACGGGCATAACACTTCAGGTCCGCTTTGTACGCTGCGTCTCTTTACTCCCTATCATTTAATCCAGTTCGTGCTCCCCTGTCCATTACTGTCGGATCCGAGCCCCGCCGTGAATGTGACCGTTCCGGGGATTAGTAGTTGTTCTCTTGCTGCTTATCCCTCCCTGGCCAACAGTGCAAGCTTGTGTTTTGAGGCAGAAAACAGCTGTGGTAGTCCCTTTAACTGAGGGGAAGCGCTTTCGTGGTACGCCGCAGTCGTTACCGAAGCGCGATCCCCGCTCCTGGCTTCACTTTACGGGCTCGTTTGTGGAAGAAAACGGCGATGTGCTCGTCTCCCGGCCCTACTGGATGTTGATCGTGTATTCCCCCCTACCGGGTGCTCGTCGGTGCTGGATCCTGTCAGAGAGCTCTGTGGCTCCCCATGACGTCAGCCAGGCACAAATCCAGACCGTGGTTTTTTGCGCAGTCCCCCTCTCTCCTCTCCAGCAGGCGCTAGTGACGAGCCGCTTTATAACGTGACCTTCCTACGCCAAATGTGCAAGCAGCGCTGACTGCACTGCAGAGACAGGACGGCGCTGTGGGATACACGCCGAGCCGAAAACAGTGTTACTTGCTAGACTTGTGCGGGAAAACGAGTGAAAGCTGAATAATGTACGACAAAAAAGCTCAGAGAGCTCACGTAAATCAAGCTGACATGGATCCGGTGGTAATGGCAAGTTTGTGGAGTCTACATGCTAAAAGGAAAAAAGGTCGTTAACTTTTCACAAACGGCGAACAGGGGCGTTTTAACCCAACTCATGGAACAAAGGCAGAAATAACGGTCTGCAGTCGCCGTTACAAGTAACCTCCTGTCCACAGGGGGCAGTGTAGCGTTAAAGTGACTCTTGGGACAGCCAATCAGAGGAAGCCAACACGGGCGCAAAGAAAGGGGAAAAGGAAGGGTCCTTGCCGCCATTTCACGTGAAAAACAGCGCGGTGAAAGAAACGAGCAGAGCGATACTATCAGAAAAACAGCGAGATTTCAAATTCAGTTCATCAGCTACAGCTTTAACTAGCATTGTAGCGGATTAATAGCACGCTAGGGTCTAAAGGTTTTTGTCCTGATTGGCCTGCTTAGTTGTCCGGAGAAGAAAATGAGCTACGGAAGGCCGCCGCCAGACGTTGAGGGGATGACCTCCTTAAAGGTGGACAACCTGACTTACCGAACTTCGCCGGAGACTCTGCGCCGAGTTTTTGAGAAATACGGCCGTGTGGGAGATGTGTATATCCCGCGGGACAGGTACACCAAGGAGAGCCGAGGCTTCGCTTTCGTGCGGTTCCTCGACAAGCGCGACGCCGAAGACGCAATGGACGCCATGGACGGCGCGCTGCTCGACGGGCGGGAGCTTCGGGTTCAGATGGCTCGATACGGAAGGCCGCCAGACTCCATGTACAGCCGGAGAGGCCCTCCGCCACGGAGATACGGATACGGACGCAGAAGCAGAAGGTAATTTAGGTCGTTAGTTTAGCGCAAGGGACTGTTTACACTAAGCTGTTTGCAAAGCACATGGTGACCTAAACGAAAGTAGTTAGCATTCTTCCACTGTTAATGTTTACCAGCCAAAGATTGCCTGGTAATCCTCACTGACAAGGTGGCTAGAGCGCAAGGTAGTTTACAAATGCATTATTTGGTATAAATAGTTGTTGGTAACTTAAATATATTGTTTAGTCGTGAATGAAAACAGAAAAAAATTACTTTCACTTTTTCCTATTTAAAAAAAGCTGTAGGACCTTTGCTGGCTAAGTTGTTATATTGTTTCTCTCTCGCTTTGTCTGTAGCCGTTCAGCCAGTCCTCGCCGTCGAAGACGTAGCCACAGCCGGTCCAGGAGCAGAAGCCGCTCTAGATCTAGGAGCCGCCACCACTACAGCCGCTCCAGGTCCCGTTCCTACTCCAGGTCAAGGTCCAAGTCTAAGTCCAAATCCAGAACCCCTCGGCGAAGCAAGTCAAAGTCGCCCTCCAGATCTCGGTCCCGCTCCAGGTCCAAGTCAAGGAGTCGAACCCCAGCTTCCAACAGAGGGTCCAGGTCAAAGTCGAAGTCCAGGTCCAGGTCCAAATCCAAGAGTAGACCTAAATCCCCAGAGGACACCGGAGCAGAGTCTTAACCCAAATGCAGATGCAACATGACGGTATAAAGGGGAAAGGGTGGCTTATATCATTAGTTTCAATTATACTAACTAGGGTGGTAATCAGCACCAGTTGGGTTTGTGTTCTGCAGTCTTTGACATTATGGCCATTTACATACAAAGGTCTGCAGAATCCCTGATATTTGTGTTATTTAAATAAGAGTTGGACTGTTGTAGCCAACAGTCCTAGTTCTGTGTGTGCTTTACTTTGCTTGCATGTCCAGCCAATCTAAAGCATGCACAGGCAATGGGAGATTGGGATATTTGTTGAGTATGTATGGGAGGGAGTGGGTGGTTGGGACGTGTGGGGGGGTGCTTCACTCAAAACGTTCACCTAAATGTGGAATTCTTTCCTCCAAGCTGCGGAGTCCTGTTTGCAAAGGGAGGAGGAGATGGGGGTGTTGCAGTGTGAGAGCAGTTAGTGTGTGACCCGCCCATGTGACCTGCCTGTTGCTGAGAGCGATGGCAGGTACTAAGGAGCAGGTCAACAAGGCAACGGTGGTTGCTATGGAGCAGGTCGTCATGGCGGTGGTTCGGGCTGTCAGTTGGTGTATGAGGTGGTGTGGTGAGGTACGTTCACAGGGACCACAGGCAGATGCACTGTGGTGTCCTCCGCCTCTCACAAAGGGAACGGACCCCGAGGTTTGTTTTTCAAATATGCCCGAGTGTAAGAGACTTGTTAGAGCTAGTTTTGGGGAGAGGAAGCGTGTTTTTGTTTTTTAACTATTGTGACAATAAATAGAAATGTTAGGCTTATTAAGAGAAATTAATGTCCATAGAGCCAGTTTGATGTGTCAGGAGAAAGATCAGTACAGAATTACATGTTATAATCCAGGTCAGCTGCAGGAGTTGATGTAACTTCTGGGTTTGGCTCTTGCTAACTCTGTTCTGTCTTTCCTTCCAGATCTCAAATGATTGATGCTATGCTGAGGACATCAGGAAGAGTCTCAGATTGAAGTGGACTCAAATATTGCCACTGAATGCAGACTCAAAGGTTATTGGAACTTGGTCTAACATGTTTTAAATGTCTAATTTGACTTGATCTACCTAAACAAATTCTGTAAATTTGGCATGATTTATCATTGTTTGTAAAGCTGAGCTTATTCAAAGGTATTTGTGAGGTTTTTTTTTTTTTCTTCCTTCATTTAAATTTTCTTTTTTCACTTTGATTTTTACACTTAATTACTCTGAACTAAAGATTTTCCTCCAGTGAAAACCCTTGTTTACACACCCTTCCCAGTTAGCTATGGAAAGTTTGAAGTTGTTTAAAAAAAAGAGGGGGGGTGTTATTCAGTGTATTTACAGCTATGTTTTACCACTCTTACTTGGAAAATGGCTTGTTGTTCAGTGACAAGCAACCCACTTAATTTGTGACTTGCTAATCCAGCAGCATGCATTTTTCTTTTCTGTCAAATTTTTTTTTCTGTCTGGTTAAAGTTGCTTTCCTATGACTCTAACCCTCTTTCTTGTGTATCTTTTGTGCACTAGGCGCAGTTGTGTAGCAGTTGAATAATGCTGGTTAGCTGTTAAGATGCGGTGCAGTGCGGTGGTGACATGGTGTGGCGTGTTGCGGTGCTGAGTGCCCGGTGTGTTCCGGGGCTCGACCCTCCGCTGCTGTTTGCCGGTTTGTAAGCTCACAGGTGTGGCAGATCATCCATCCTCTCCTGTCTTGTGACTTCACCTTCCCTCCATGTGCTGTACAGATCCTCTTCTTTCTTTTCTTTTTATTCTCCCTCCTCCTTTCCCCCCCCCTTGCTCCTCTCTATGGTTTATCAACTGTTGATAACTGGTCTTGGTCTTTGAAAGTGGTTCCAGTGGGACTCTTAGTTGAAGGGTTTCAAGGGCAGTTCCGCCTGCTTCATGATGTGTATTGCATTCCTCTGTGAACCTCTCAAATGTCTTGTAAGTGCTTACGGTGAATGCTAATAAACATTTTTGTTTAAAATAAATTCATTTCTCACACTTTGTGCTTGTTTAGAGTCTATATTGCTGCTGAGCAATATAGAACTCCAGTTAAAAGCTACAGTGTTCGACTTTTTTCTTTCTGTTTTTTTTTTTTTTTTTTTTTTTTTTGTGCTTCCACTGACTGTGCCATTTATTGGGAACAGCAGTCATCAGTAAAGAGTTTCAGTGGTTAACACGCATGCAAAAGTTCCTCAGGACGTGCGACACCCCCAGCCTCAGCTAGGTGGAGGTGTTGCATCCATCATATAATCTGTCACAAGTCAAAGACACTGATCCATCGATATCTGACAACTCAAAGTGTTTATATCAACAGACGGTTTTGATTTAAGATACTTGATAACAATCTGATGGGTGTTTTGTCCTTTTTTTGTGTGTGTGTATGACCATCATCACTGTGTAGTATGTTTTAATTGTTAGCTAATATCTATCTATAATAGAAATGCGACACTTTGTCTTGAAAGCATTGCTAAGCCTGTGGAAAAATGCTAAAATGAATTGTTCACACAAATGGGAAGGCTAGGGCGGCACACTGACACTACCTCAGAGGATAAATACAGCAGTCGATAACCTTCAAAGCTGGCTCCATGTTACAGATAAACTATTGGGCCCAAAAACTTGATCTGTGGACTTGCCTATAAGCAGCTGATAAATAACTGAGCCAATATAAACACTCCCAAGAGGAGCAGGAGTTGGTGGTCTTGTAGCAAATAAATGATTTAAACTTCCTTTGATGTACATAATTTTGAATTTATATCAAAACAGAAAATAAAATTAATATAAACAGATATTTAATGTTTAATTATGCACTCTGAAATGGATTTGGGTGTAAAACATAGGCTCCATAATTAATCCCAGCAGTTGTTGATGGGGTGCTTATAATTGTAAAACCATAACAATTATAATGCTTCATGTAAGCCAAGATGGGCATGGAAAAGTTAAAGTGGGTGAACTCTGCTAAAGTTAATGTCAACATTTTATTTTGCAACTACAGTTTCGGTGGACAATTTGTCATTTCTAGCAGAAAAGTTTATCAAACAGGAGACTGCACTGGTGCTCAGGGTAGTTGTAAAACTATTTACCATCATTTACATTAGCAACATCTATGTTTGTAAGTTGATCTTTAGTCTGTATATTCATTTATTTATTAAAAAATTCAAACTTAAAAGTTGCAGATGCACACTGTAGTTGTTTGTTGTAGGAGGGATTGATGATGGATGGGTTTTCCTTCAAGGTAGGAGAAGTAAAAGTGCTGTAATGGCTTAAATTTGCATTCCTACTAATGGCCAGTAGGGGGGGCATCTTGACCAGTATCAAAGGGTTGTATAGAATTATTTATACAGAATGTATTTGGCTCGCTTTGTCTATAACCTTAGAAACACTCTCTTAATGAGTTTATGATCTCATTTTATTGGTGGGTTTAGACCCTTTTTGGGGTCTATAGTGCAGATTCAAACACACTTCACGAAACATTAACAAAGAAAAGACTACTTTGTTCTGATAACACAGGGTTATTGACATAAAAAGTGTTGGTTATGTGTAATTTGTTTTTGTTTGGGGTTTTTTGCCCTTTAAAAAACTCCTGTCCAGTAGCTTTAGCATGTAGAATCATGGTCTGAATGCTTCGTTGTCCCAAACACATTTGCTTTCCCTCGCTGACCCTAATAAATTGAGAACATTTATTAGTATTAAAATTTAGACTAAAATAAAGTTTGTACTCCTATTTATTGTGTTATTACATGAATTTAGGACAGTTCAGTTAGCTTTGCGTCAAAATAACTGGTACAAATTTTTTTTTTAACTTTTACTTGAGAAAAGAAGCTGATTCAGTAGTTTTACCGGAGTATTTTTTTTAACACTAGTACTTGTACTTCTACTTAAGTACAGAATATCCGTACTGTGGCCACCTCTACAGTCTATCCATCCATCTCATCTCATGTAGTTCGCTCTTGGTTCACCTTCCACTTTAATCCGTGATGCAGACTACTTGGAAGGTGCACACTAAGGTAAGAACACCTTATGTATAAACTGTCGGTAAACCCGGCTTGACTTCATCAGCCTGCACCTTAGGCACACGGGCTCTGTCACAAACCATTTTAGTTTCTCGCTTTGTGCGCTAGGACCGCCGCTGATGCGATTAACGGCACAGACGGGCGGCGAGCCGAGACACAGCACGTTGCAGAGGGCCGTGCATGCCCACCTGACAAGCACGACAGCCTGGGGATATAACCGCAGGGATATTCGGCTCACATGGAGTGAGGGGCGGAACCAGAGGATGTGACGTCCAGCTCGGAGAGGAGATTGTACCATACCATCTCGTAAACGCTGCTCGTTAACGTTGATGTTTGGTGGGGATTACTGCAAGCAGCGGGATGGCCGATTGAGCGCATACGGTGGGTTAAAGTGAACGGAAAGCGGAACAGCAGCATTTAAGAGTCACAACACGGGGGCAAGGCACGCCTACAATGGATATAACCTTTGTATTATTTGCTATTATTTCTACGCTTCTCGCCATTGTGGTCGCAACGTCGCTTTTTAACGGCTCTTCGCCTGCAGCAGACTTTGCAAATGCGCGGAGTTATTTCGGACACAGAGATGGTGTGACCGGAGGATTAGATCAATCCGGGCCGAAACAGAATGGCCATCTACCCGATAAGAAAAAGAAGAAGGAGGCGGACGACTGGTGCGAAATCAGCGGGAGCTCACACGATCACTGGGATGTAGTGAAATCTGTGCTTTCTGTAAGTAGCCTGTCATTTAGTGTAAACACAGAGGTCTGCGTAGATCTCCCACAATCTGTTTCACAACTATCCCTCCCACTGAGAGACTCAAACCCAAGGATAGAAGCTCAGAAAAACATTTAGATCCTTATTTCTATGATTCTCGATTTAAAATGACCGTAAACTTAAAGGTTGTGTAAAAAATGCACTAATTCTGATGTATTAGTGTTTACAACGTTACATGTGAATACAATATCAGTACTGATGCATTAACGTGAAATCAGAATTTTAAGGTTGTAGCTTTTCCTCACAAAGATGTTTCACCTTCTTTGTAGACAGCTGCGTATGTCAGCTGATTGGACAGTATTCAGTATAAATTTTGATAAAATGCTTACTTGGAGCCAAAGTTGAATCTCAAATGTGAATAACAAAGGTTTCTCTTATCATAGTAGGTGTATCATTCCTGATAGTTTTTGGCAATAATTCAAAAATAAGAGATGATTTGATCAGTCAAGAAAATGAGAAGTATAAACTGTACCTAGTGGTAGTTGTTTTTTAACTTAATAAAAAAAACAACTACCACTAGGCCCCTCATTTTGGGTCTGTGTGGGAAATCCAGGATATGCTTACTGAGTGTGTAAATTCATCAGTGACATCACTGTCTGTGAGGAAAACATTGAAAAGTATGGTATGATTCTCCTCATTTATCCCTTAATTATCTAACAGGAGGAAGCACACTCCCACCCTCAATCTGAAGAACTGGAAACCCTGGCTGATTGGTCCAGGCCTGGATCTAGGAATACAATCTTAGAGGCAGAGTCATCATCCAATGCTTCATCAGGGACAGGCCGAAGGTCGCTCATTGGGCTTTCTGATACAGAGCTCCTAAAGTGTGCTTTTTCTTACCCCCAAACTGAAGGAGCATCAGAGAGAGCTGGGATGAATGGTATGCACTTTTACTCACTTGGAAAGAGCAAAATATTTTAGATTTCCTTTTTTGTTTTTGTTTTTGCCTTTGTTTGTTTGTTTGTTTGTTTGTTTGTTTGTTTGTTTGTTTGTTTTTAATCAAAATTTGATCTGTTTCAGCAGAAAAGGTGGAATCAAATGCAAATAATTCCTTGAAGTACGTCCCAGGAAAGGCACGATCCCACCACTTGGAAAAGATGATGACCAAAGAGGAGCTGGAGGAGGAGCAGAGGTCAGTGAAAACTACAAATATGAAAACCAGTTTCAAGGCTCAGCCTATAGAAAAAGGCAATTTATTAATCAGCAACAAGCAATTATTATTCTCCAAAACTGTCCATCATGATACTTACCTGTACACAACCTGGTGACCAGAAAGAATTTTTATTAAAGGTTCCGTGCAGAACTTTTGATTGATTTAACTGCAGTCTTTAACATGGCATAGCTAGCACTGGTTTGAAGCTGACCACCCCAGCATGCTTGAAGGTGTTGTTTGGAAACACAATCCAAAGCCACATCCATTTTTTGTGTTTTGCCTGTATGTGGAATCTATGTCTTTTAAACAGAAATCAGGCTGTTAGAGCGTTTAAAGGTTCACGTTTAGTGGCTTGCACTTTATTCTTAAAGCATCATAAAATGTTTTCTTATGGCAAATAAACTTATAAAAAACATCTATTTATAACATTGCAAATTAAAATCTCAGAACTGGATGTCATCACTCCTTAGTTTAACATTTGTAACTCTAAAAACAATCTTAACTAAATGTATGTTTTTCATCTATTTTGCTTTTTCAGCACCCTCCTCCCTCTAACCTTATCTACGCTGCCTCACGTGTGGTTGTGCTTCTTTAGACTGACACTCTGAGCCTTCCATCTTTAGCTCCTGTATCACTGCACAGCTTTAGGCTAGACTGAGTAAGGCGAGATTGAGTCTTTGCCAGGCATTAGCTGATGGATGAATGGCACTCAACTTAAAAAAAAAAAAAAAAAAATGTAAAGTTTTTTTTGTTTTTGTTTTTTTAGCACTGCTGGGTGAAAAATAATAGTTTTTTTTCTGCATGCCCTGCTCTTATCATTGCAGGATATACTTCACCACAAACTTTAACTGTCTGTAATCCTGAAAAAGGAGCAAACTGGGTAAAGTATGACTCATTGTCACCTGCTTGTCCCAGAAGAGTCACTTTCTGGCCATTGCATGAAAACTACTTCAAACTTGACCTCAGCAGTGTTTTCTGACTTTAAGCTTCATTGGCCATTAAGCGACTGATGTAACTGTGGAGCATTGCTTACCCGATCACACTCTCACTCCTCCTGCTGCCCCTTTATTCCACATTAGACGTGTGATCCTCAGGTGTCACAACAGGTGTTGATTGTATCTCCAGTGTTTGATCCTTCCAGGAATTTCCTCTCCTCTGCCACACGGTGGAGTCAGTGTAATGTAACACAAGGACCTGTGGAGACAAGCAACCCCAGTCATCTCATAAAATATTCAGGAATCAATTATAAATGATTAAATATTAGACAGTCTGAAATGATACAAAGTCACATTGATGCTGGTAATGTAGTTTTTATTGAAACAATTTTCTACAAGATATGACATTCAATGTCTTTGTGTTTATAACTTTTACCTGTTAGAAGTTCACAATTATTTCTGCTGTTCCCTCCTTTCTCTTAGTTGCAGTAGTAGTATAACATTTGCAGTAAAAATGTTGATGCCTATAGCTCACATATGCTGGTCCAAGTCAGTTGATGAGTTTGTAGCCTTGTAGGTTTTTGTTGTGGTTTCTTTTAACTCTAAGCAAATTTCTGCAGAGCCGAAATTCATGACTGCAAACCATGGGAGGATGTTCAGTCTGCCTACATATGTCTAGGTTGGGAGCAACAACAAAAGGAAACAGGAAGAAGGTGCCATGTTCTGG